GACAGTCACCCAAGCAGTTCTGAGAAGGCTCTGCCATACAGCATCGCAGGCCAGGATCCAGCAACCAGAGCTCGTTCTGTGATTTCTGGAGGTATTTTGCCAGTCTGGCAACGTGCTCTCATGTGCTTCAGATGTTTGTCTGCCTTTACTGTGCTACTTTCCACAGTTCCTGCACTGTCAGCAAGTTCCTTCATGCTCCAGAGGCCCAAGTGAATAAGCAGTATTTACGACCTCCCCCTTTCCCCCCCTCACCTCTCAGTGGTGCCCCTCGAGCTCTCCCTGGGTGCCTTGTTCTTCATCTGCAGCACTGCCATAAAATACTGCCTGTATTTTACAAAGAAGAGTTGCTGTCATGATTTCCAGTCAAGATGGAACATTGATCCCTAAAGGAGCGTCTAGACTGTATGCCTATCCTCACTTCGGGTTGGCTGGTGGGATCTGGCAGGGAAGGGATGTTCAGAAATGAGGTGAATGATTTAAGTAGGGCTGGGGGGGATGAAGGAGAGGGGAAATGGGAGGAAGTAGGGCTAGATGTTTCAAGAAACATCTGTTGAAGAATAGGGGCAGGGATGGATAGGGGCTTTTTGGACTGCAGGCAAAAGGAAGTTCTGATGCTGGGAAGTACAGCTACAACTACAGTTAGGAAATTAAAAGTGGAAATTCTCACTCTAGTTTCATGCATGCTTTTGGAGCACATCAATACTGGTTTTAATATCTGAAAGAAAGCTTTTCTGTTACAGTGTTCATCTCCACAGACTCTTGCACAATGTAGGATTAAAATGCAAATGATCAGATCCCGATGTGAATTCACATAGCTCCAGTGGCTGACCCAATGCAATTGAAGCTTATGTGCACATCCTCCCCACTTCCTCCCCCCCCAAAAAAAAGCTTATGGCATTTGAAAATTTTTTTTACATAAGATTACCAGTGGCCAATCATATTTTTAAAATAAAAAATCTTCAGATCTTTGAGAAAACATAAAAATCTAAGTCAAAACCAGTATCCAGTACAGCTCCACAGAAACTCAGAGTGCAGGGCAAAACTCCCCCATCTTTTTAAGCTTGAATTTGCAGCATGCCTCAAAACTGGGATGTATGTGCTTAGATTCAGCTGTTAGCTAATGAATCAAAGACTGACCTCGTCAAGCCATTACCCATCTGTATTTTATGACTTCCAGAGATACACAAGGCTTCCAGAATCAAATAGTCACTTGTGGCTTCCCTAGTATTCACCCTGACTTGCTGACTGCTCACCAAAGCACTGAGTGCTCTTAGCTGTCTCTGTGCAATTTCCTGGCTAAAGGAGATCTGGAATGTAGAAGCGTATTCATCACCAGAGGTTTTGCCAGATTCCAGGACTTCAGTGAAGTGGTAAGAGATTATTTAAAATTGGAATGTCATGAAGATTCCTCTCAGTTTTCAAGCAACTATAGGGTAACTTAACCAACAAGAAAGTAACCCTTAAGGAGAACCTGAATGATCTGGGATTTAAGCATCAAAAAATGTACCAGCTTGTAATTACTGTTATACCTGCACCAGACATATCCTTGACTCTTTACTGTGAGCCTCATGATACTGAAATGGAGGACCAAGTGGCAAGTGGGAACATGCCCAGTATGGCGCTCTGACCATTCATCCAGAATGAAACTACTGGACATAGCCAAATACTGAGAAGTGGTAGTGCATAAACTGGATTTTTTATTTCAGTTGATAAAACTGCAGATAGTGCTAAGATCAAGTGTAATCCAGAACCAGCTTTGCTAAAATGGTGACCCTGTTTTTTACCCCTGTATTTGAACTCATTCTAGGCAGAAAAACCTTAGCAAACCTTTCTCCAGGATGGTGGGAAATGCATGTCCATGTTAAATACACACCAGATGTAATGTGCTACTCACATACATTTTGGAACCGATTCTCGCTTTCTTTGTGATGGGTATTACCCACCATCTAACATCAGGATATGTAAGATAGGAAGCAGGTACTGCTCACCACCAGGTGTTCTGGCCCTTTTGTTATTTTGCCACTTTGCTTTTCTGGTACTAGCACACCCTAAAGCTTACTGAGGAAATGAAAGATTGTTTCTGATGTGCTTTTGTGTGTGTGTGTTCAGAGAAGACATTTACTCTTGTGGATCACAGATTTGTGTCAAGAAACACATTCCTCACCGCTTTAGACTGTTGGGTTATCTGGACGAAGTAGAATGAAAAGGAGATAGCTCTGATTTGGAAGTGTCTTACGTACATTCTGCAGCCCTGTACAAGTTTATATGATATGTAGGACAGTGATGAATCATAGTCTGTCTTCTTCATCATTTCACACCAGTGTAACAGCATTATTTTGCTGGATTGACTTCTGATTTTCTGGGTGAGAAACCTCTAGGCAGTAATATGCTGACCCACCATCACCTTCAGTTTTGCCTGCTGGTGCTTGCTGTTTCTACACCTTCGCAGTGCGATCTCTGGCTGAGGAACTTTGTAATTGTGTACCATATGACTGTAGGTCTCCTTTTTTTTCTTTTTGTCTTTTTCCAATCCTTGCCTGACTATTAAGACTTAGAAACTTGTAATTAGCTTTCAGGTCATTCATGAACTCTCGTTTCTTCCTTGTAGGCTGAGGCCAATTTGTCTCTAATTGCTGGAGCAGATTAAAGGAGTGGACGGATGATTGCAGGTGACTAAGTTGGTATGTTGTAACAAGTTACTGTCCCTCAGCTGAGATTTAGCTTCTGTGATTTCACATGCTCTTGTGTTCCCCCTGCACTGTGTCAGCAAAGATATTTGGGGATTTTATCTGGCTGAAAAACACCCAGGAAAAATCTTAGGTGGGCAAGTTCCTTGATCCCTTCCATTACATAGCTGCACAAATAGCTGTGCTGGCACAGTGCAGGGAGTAGCTCAGGAGCAGAGTTGCACAGCAGGGTAAGAACTATTGATACTGGTACTGCTGACAAAAAAGAAATCAGGCTGTGCCCTGTGGCAGCTGGACTGCTCGTTCTGCTGTACATCTGAAGGGGAGAAAATTGTGGTTATTACACGTTCACCATAAAATCAGTTGTTCAATGAGTTGGTCACTGAGGCTGTGGCCTGGTGCCAGGCTTCTTCCCACAGAACACAAGAGACCCTTCTGTGAGGTGTAAGAAATTCCCCTTTCCCCCCATACTGGGAAGGGGCCATCTGACTTTATCCTAACTGCAAGGCAAGATGGATCCTTTCCCTGAAAACCCCCTGAGCACTTTCTCTGCTCCGAGTGCTTTGAATGCAAATAAAATGGTCTACATCTCACTCTTTCCTTTCTCGAGTACCAAATTCTAGTTTGCTGCAGTAGCTTTAGGTCTCATTCTGATGTTGTTCGTGGACGTTCCAAATGCCTCTCCCTCCTTTTGTTTGTGAACTCCCTCTGAAATATCCATAAACAATTTTAGAGATTGGAGTCTTGAAATCTGGGTAATTTAGAAAACTATAAGTACTGTAGTCCCAGGATATCGCTTCAGGATCTCCTTAGGATTCTGCATTACTACAGGGTAAAATAATAACCAAATGTAAGAATACAGTTCTGAATGTTTTGATGAGATTCCTTGGCAGTGAATATACAAAGATTTAATTGAAATAATTTCTGAACCGAGTTAACCTGTGGTGTTTTCTCAGCTTCAGGTGTCTTTAAAAAGCACCTATAATTAAAGTCCTGGTTAGTTCATGCTGCTTTAAGTACCTTTATACTTTAAACTTTATACAAATACAGCTATGGCAAGGGCTGTTAAAGTAATACACCTGCTGAATATGGACCAGGCATCAGGTCATCCACCACAGTCAGCTTGCATAAGCATTCTCCAAGTGGTTGATTGAATGTATTTGGTAAAGTATCTTGTCAGACAAGGCATGTTTATGAGTATTTTGGACTGATCTCTTGCCTGGCTTCAAGATTGATTTTTTTTTTTTTTTTTTTTAAATTATCAGGGTGCATTTTCTGAAAACACTTTGTGACTTTGAGCATGGTACAAAAGGAAGTTACTCTTCCGGTCTCAGTTCAGGGCTGAAGGATAACTGTTCAGTTTTAACTCCAACTTTGACGGTGCCACCTTTGTGGATCAGACATTCAAACAGAATGCATGTTCTTTTCCTGAGTTCCCCCCCTGCAACAATCACATAAGCCCAACTCCCATGTAACTGCGGGATTCTTGATACGGGCTGATCATGGCTGCATTTGAAATGAAGTGGCTGATATCCTGCCCTGTACCGAGAGAAGCACCTTTATGTCACAGCCAGATGACAAACTATGGACAGACCATGCTCCGGGTTCGTGCTGCCTGTGTGTGGGGTTTTGAGTCCAATTTTAAATGTATCCAACAGAGGGAAGTAATTCTAAGCGTGCAATTCCACAATTGATTGAAATCAGCTCTGTTGCAGTCCTACTCTCCCTACCAGCCCCAGACTTTCATTCTCACTTCCTTCATTTGTTTATTTTTTGTGGGGTTAATTTTCTGCTGGTTAGCTCCCAAACAAACTGATAAACATTGGTACAAGGGAGAAGGGCAAGACTCTGGCAGCACTGTCTTAATCTGTCATATGTGGGCATGCTGTCTGGGTATAAAAGGTAGGTCTGGGGTGGTGACCTGTATTATTTGTCTCCCTTTTATCTGTATCTACCTGCTTCACTTAATGTTTTATTTTTGTATGTCTAGACAACGTGTTCCAAGCACACAGCATCAGCATGCCCAGGCTCTGTTCTTGAGTGTGGTGCAGCTGGACGGCTGGGCAATCAAATCCCTCCTCCTTTTTTTCTCTCAGTAGAGCACAAGCGCTGAGCCGAAAACTGCTCTTAACCAGGGTGACAAGTTTCCAGCCAGTTTTGGATCCCGGGAAGAACCATCACCCGTGTCCCTGCAGTCTGAGGTACAGACATCTCTGCTTGTGCAACACACAAGCAGGGCAGAGCCTGATTTATTCTTCCCTTTTTTGGATCTGCACGCACACACTCCTCAGCACGACGGAGCCGGCTCTGCGATAGCACAGTGTGATACAGAAATAAAGTCATTACAGTGTTGCATGCCAAGGGTATGATTGCCGGTGATCCACTCCCTGCCTTGTAGCTCCGTTGATGGCGTGATCACGGAAGGCTTTTACATCCCAGGCCAACGCTGTTCCCTCCCTCCGCCCTGCAAAGGTGCCGGGCTGGGGGCAGCAGCCCTGCAGCTGCAGCAAGGCTGTCCCACAACCCCCACGGCTTTTCCCGAGGCAACACGGAGGCGAAAACAAGCTCCGGGGCTCCAGATCTGCCGCACCGCGAAGGTACCACCCCCCCCCTCCTCCCCTCCCCCCCCCCTCCCCCCCCCCCTCCAACTTTTCACCCCGAGCTAAAAGAAACGGGAAGCTCCAGCCCCCTCTCACCGTGCGTGGTTGCCCACCTTGGTGGCAAGGCGCGGGGGGGTGGCGGGGCGGGCCCCCCCCGGAGCCAATGGCAGTGGTAAGGCGGGGAGGGGAAGGGGAGGCGGTGCCGGGCCGACAATAGGGGCGGCGGGCGGGCGGCCGGGCCGAGAGCCGGGCAGCACCTTGCGGCGGGCGGAAGGTGAGTCCCGCCGGGCCGGGGAAGGGGATTTCCTCGCTTGGTGTTTTGTAGCCGAGAACTTTGCAAAGAGGGTTGAGCAGCCTGGTTTTCCTCCCTCCTTCCCCCCTCCCTCCCCTCCCTTTCCCTCCCCCCCCCCCCCCCCCCCCTTTTAAAAGTGAGGTACCCACCCTCCCTCCCCCGCTCCTGCCTCCCCGGCTCATTCATTTAACAAAAGGACTTGCCTTCAGACCCCGCGCTTCCCAAGCGAACAGCCGTTTGGAGCCGCATGCTTGGGGTCCCGGGGCAGAGGTTGGGATGGGAATTGGGGCTTAGCCCAGAGTTTCTCCTGAGCACCCCGTCCTGGCTTCGGCTGGAGCAGGGGGAGCGGTTGGGGCAAACACAAAGAATTGAGGAGCTGGACCATTACTGGGCGATGGGGTAATGCAGCCCCGGGCTTTGTGTGGCTGGTGCGCAGGGATGGAGAGGTGGGAGCGTGTCTTTAAACCTCCCCGCCCCCCTTCTCCCCCACCCGTGTGTGTGTATGAAACCGTGGCTTTTTTGCTGTGAAAGTACTTAAAAGCAAATCTGAACTTAGTATCGTGGGATAATTCAGATTGGAAGGGACCTCAGGAGGTCTCTAGTCCAGCCTCCTGCTCAAAGCGGGGGTTTCTGCGTGGGGAGTGGGTAGCAGTGAAGGGGCATCGGGAGATGGGTGACACCTCCGGGTGCTCTTGAATGTTCCTGGGAGCCCGAAGGAGAGGCAGCAGCAGCAGCAGGATGAGCCCTCAGGGGCAGCAGCGCTTCTCTCTTCCACTGTGCAAGGAAATACCCCAATCCACAGCTCTCCCATGCTTGCAATCCTTGTTCTTGCTGCTTTTGTTATCCAGAGGGCTTAAAATTCATGATTGTTGGGAATAGCTGGCTCCATCCGTGCATGTGTCATGGTGCATCTGCTCCTGCTGAGCATTACTTGATCCTTATTCTGACATTACCTCCAGGAGTTTTTTCTTCAGGAACAACATTTATAAATAGATGTCAAAATTGGGCTCTTTGCTGGGGACCTGTTACCGGCTGTAGGGCATGTACTTTATGCAGTGTATGATGTACGTATATATGTAACACTAACTGTAAAAGCTGTTTAGTTAGCCAGGTGTTTCAAAGTGAAAGCAGGTATTGTAGTTGGGTGAAATGGCTGTGTCGGGCACAGATGGAAGAGTGTTTGTTCTCTTTGCTTGCACTTACTCTTTGTACAGTGACTCATGGATGCCTCTCACTGAGCTACCTCCCCCTTCTCCATACCTGGAGTTTCCTGGTGTTGCACACATTACCTGGCAAAGCAGGGAGCATCTTCACGTCTGCCACTAACATCTCTTAGTGTGGGTGTGTTAATCTTGCTCACAGCTTTTCAGGATAAGGTTGCAGAACCTCCTCCTTGTGGAGCAGTTTGTGTGTGTGTGTGTGTGTGTGTGTGTGTCTGCTGGATGCTTAGAAATTGCTTTTCCCTGTGTGTTTTCTGTGGATAAGTCAGAGAAGTGAAGGTCATCTCTGCACAGAGAACAGAAGGTACAGTGGAAATTTAAATATGTCTAAATACTGAATCTGTTTAACTGTGGATTGTCCCTGTCCTGTTCCATGGGACAGAATGTGTTCTTAGCTGTACTGTATAACAAAGCTGGAGTTTAAGAGTGGAGACTGATAAGCTGGGTGGGTATTTAGCCTGAGTCCTCCGGGGAGGGACCAGCTTCTTTAAACGGGATGATATAACTACCATTCTTTGACTTGGAAATGAAAGCCAAAAATAAAATTGAAGAGGAAAATGCTCTTTTAGAATGACAGCAGGGATGCTTTGACTGGTTTTATGGGATATAATGTGCTCTGGATGTTGCTCAGAAAAAAAGACTAGGGAAATGTAAGGCTTCTGGTTCATGCTTTTCCATGCATCACGGGGATATTGGCAGAAATGCGTGACAAGTCCAGCATAACTTCCACAAGTGAAAATATATTGCTTATTGTGTTTCTGATGGCCCCGCTTGCACTGGATTAAAAACTGATGCTAGCTAGCTCTTTTTGCTCGAGGGGTCAAAGAACTGTTTGATTACTGCTGATTCTTGTGTATCCTTTTCCAGGTCTGTGCAGACTTTTTCTCTCAGCTTTGACTACAAGTACATGAATTTCACCTAGTTTGCTAACTAGTGTTTGTTTGGCGTTTTTTTTGTTGTTTTTTTTGTTTTGTTTTGTTTTTAGATAGGAGTGAGCTGCATTATGGCTTCTTTCCTTCTTTCTCCCTTTTGTGCACCTGTCTTGCTTCCTCATTGTGGGAAGTTTTGTAATTTCAAAAGCTGTTTGTTATGGTCCCGTTCCCTTATATTCTTGAGAGCGTACAGAATCAACTAGAGCTGAAATAGACTTTTCTCAGTAGCAAAATACAGAAATGATCCAGAACTCCACCCTTAAAGCAACCTGGGTTTATAGTTCATCCTGTCAACAGCAGATAACGAGCAAATAAACTTTGTAAAGGATCTGAAAAACAACCACTCTTTCTGAGGAGGTACAAGAAACAGACTGAAACCAGACAACTAAAAACAAAAGTCATAATTCTTTAAACCCGAGTCAATTGTTAGCCCTTTAGCGGGTACAACAATATCTCTTGTTGGCTTTTTACCTCTATGGGAAGGCAGAAGAATATTGTGTGCCAGAATCATATTGTGTGAAAGAGCCTTTTTCTATGCTTGGCAAGGAGCTGAACTTATTTTCTCAGCCTGATGTATTGGCCTGTATAGGAATTGGGGAGAATTCCTATAGGCGTGTTCTGCTTGATACGGAGGGATTGCTCTTACGGAGAAAATAATTTCTCCAGTGTGTGACTCTTACGCACTTACACAGCTCTCACCTGAGAGGAACTGCTCTGCACCCCCGTTCCCAGGGATGGGAATGGCTGGGTCCCTTCCCTTTGGTGGCAGCAGGACTGGGACTGTCAGCAGACGCTCGCTCATGCGACACATAAGTCACTGTGATCACTTCTTCCCTCCTGAGCATAAGGCACATGATGCTCTTTAGGAATGAAGAGCTTAAAATTGTCTGATGCTGCTTATGCGAACCAGGTTTTAACTCAAGTCCAAGCTTGAAGTTCCAGAACTCGGGTGCGGCTGTGCGTGGCTCATGTAGATGTGGATGTTATGGCTGTGAGGGGTAACACTCAGTGCTCTCAGTGATGATGACTGCCCCTGGCTTTGTGCAGGGGAGGAAGGTTACTGTTGTCCTGGCCCTCCTCAGCCACATCCTCACATCTGTAGTCGGGAGGCTTTGGGTCCTCCCACACTCTGTCTCCTTTTCAGCATGTGACAGTGGGGTGTGTGTCACAGTTTCAGGGCCCTTTGTGGGACTCACTGGATGAAAACACAGCTGCTCAGAGCTGGGCAAATCTCCCTAGGGTTCCAGTATGATCAGTAGAGAGGAAAAAGCCCCTTTAGGATGTGGTCTGTATTGTCCTTCAGTAGGCATTTTAAAATAGGTCAGAGACTTGCATTCTAAAAATGCTGATTCTTCTTTGTAGTCACCCTGGCCTCCTGTGTCTCATGCGTTGTGTCGTACATGGCAGCAGGTAGCTGAGAGGAGTTTCACTTACTCCTCTCACTGTGGGGATGGCAGGCAGGCAGCAGTGCTAACAAATCCACTGGCAAAAGCACTGTAGTAGCATAACTTTCATGAGTTCCCTTCATTTTAGCACTTGTTTGTTGGGGTGGGGGGAAGGGGAAACAAAAAAGCCATCTGATGAAGTGCTTTTTCAGGGGAATTTGAAGAAAAAGTAGAAGTATTCATTTCTAGTTCATGTACTAATATACTTCTAGTAAATTATCTGGGCTCTCGAATAGCTGTTCAAACTGGCAGTCCAAGTGATCTGACTTCCAGTCATACTGCTAACGATGGCCTTTCTCTATCTCTTGCGTCTAGTCTGAGATGCAGGTTAAACAATAACTTTCCTTCCGTGATTTCTTTCCTTCTTTCAATCTGTGCTCTTTGAACCTGCTATATAGCTAGCTTATTTCACTCTTAAACTGATATAACAGCCTTGAAGTCATTCTATTTCCTACTTCCTGTCTAGAATCAGCGAGGCGGTGGCAAATCAGGCATTCTTTTATCATCTTAGGTTTAAAAAAAAGAGCAGAAAAAAAAAGGTAATGGGGTAGAAGAAAGGCCCTAATTTGAGAATAACAGGCCAAATCAGAACACTGCAGAAGTAGTAAGCAAAAGTACTTTCTGAAAATAAATAATTTCTCCTACAGTAGCCCTTTGTGGTCCCAATTACCATGTGAGAGGCAATACACGTAATATATTGTGACTGCCTTGAAGTATATGACATCTAGCTGCAAACATCTCCGTGATCTAGGTGGGCCTGTAGCTGTAGGACTACAAGCAAGTCAAGTGGCAAGTACATGCTGCATGCAAGTGAGGCATAAAGCTTTGTTTCATGCCTTTTTTTCTCTTCTGTTTCTATAAAGTCAGCCCATACCTGTAATTTAAATGGGGGATGGGGAAGGAAAATAATTACTATTCATATTGTGTGTGGTTTTGGGACGGAGGAGAGTCATTCAAGTTTATCTTAAGGCATCGTCTCCTGCTTTTATGAACTTGATGCATGTAGTTCAAGTGCGTCTGTCCGTGATTTACAGCTCATGGCATTTGATGACTTTACAGATGGCAGCAGAGAGAAGGAAAATCAAATACGAAAGGCTAGGACACAGTT